ACGACATGTATCATTAATCATCAAAAAACTTGAAAATATCATTCACAAACAATCTCACTTTGATATCGTGCGATACCATTCAAGTAAATGATTAGTCAAAAGATCCGTTGTGCCGTCCAAAAATACGTCATTCAAAATTCAATATTGCACACGCGATATATAAATACCGCGGAATATATAAATGCATTATATTAATAAACGATCGATATATCACGGGGCTTTTCATTATGTGAATTATTTTACCCTGGTTTGTATATTACTCAAAATTTTTGATATGAAAATGATGGGTTAATTACATTTGAAAACAAGCGAAAAATTCAAATTACAGCGCGAGGCAAAATATATTCGAGGTATATTTAAAGAAGTCATTATATGCCCGTAAACATTTTACAATTACTAACAAATTAACTTATTTGTTTTATCATAACAAAACAATTTATAATTTCCATCTCATGTCGTTCCGAGATTCTTCTTCCAAATATATTACGCGAAATATTGCTTCGATAAATAGCTGTCGTCGCAATGTTCATACGAATCACGCTAACTAATAACCAATAATTGTAATTATTACGCATTTGACGTCTTCCAGTACTTCTCACGATCGTGTCTCGAAAAATACTACGATAATATGTCGCTACCAATTTATTTTTCTAAAATATGGACGAGAAGAAAATGAAGCATTAGGGAAGGGTAATTATTATTTTATTTCTCAATATTTAAAACGATAATTATTTCTTTAATTTATTTAGATATGAATATATACCGCGTTTAAAATTTTTCACCGATTTAAGCATTATTTGCCTATAATTATCGGGAGTAATATACGATTACCGGATCGAATAATACAAGTAAAGGAAAACCGATGATATATCGACCGTTAATTAATAATTTATTTCGCGGGATTTATTATGTATCTCGCATGCAATATCGTGAATTTCGATTATATATATTTCGGGACGGTACATTGCCTCTCAACTAGCCATTAACTCGACTCGCGTAATATCGCGCGATATCAAAGTGAAGTCGCCAATGCCATTTACGGTCATTAACAAAACGTTTGCGTTTACGAGGCTGATCGAACAGCGTCGCGATATGTTCAATTATAATAAGTACATTAATCCTGCATTTTAATATTTTTTTTCCTGCGTTATTAATCCTACATTTTAATATTTATCAATCGCGCATAATAAATTTGGCGTTTCTATAATCCATCGTTGCAATTTGTCAAAACGCATATCCCGCAAAATTTATTCAAAATTAGTCGTGCAAACAGTCGACAAACTTAACTATATCTTTGAATATTGCACAATCCTTGAATATTTATGTTTAATTCGTATTCCAAACTTTATAATACCAGGTGAGTAATTGTAAAACGAAAGTGTATATTATCTGTTAAATGTCACCGCAGCAAGTGACGCGTGAATTTGAATAGCAAAATTTTCGAGCGCCATAATTTTCACGTTGTTCTCTCATCAATGAAATAAAGTGCGTGTCGCGCACGATGATTATACATTGGAAGCGCCCTGTAAAGTGTCACGCGATCGTCGTATTCCACCAATTAGTGCGCCCGTGATCGTAATTAACCGTGTTTTCGTGAGTGTCATGCAAAAGTGTCATAAAAGGGCAGCAAAGGAGAAGCAAGAGGGGAAAGAGAGGCATTGGGCGACAGCGAGGAGTAACTGTGAGATGAGTAATTTACAATTTATTTAATTTATTTTATTTGTTATTTTTTAAATTAAACGTCTCTTTCCACAGTAAGTGATCAATTTTATATTAATGCATAAATATAGTGTGTGTGTATATATAAATATAAAATATTCTCCGTGTATCTCTTACATATTTTCTAATTTATATAAAAAAAAAATCTGTCTTCTTTAAAAGTATCTTTCCAATTAACTTTATTTATTGTTAAATTCTCTTGCTCGCATCACAAAAAAAGAAGAGATAGAACTTACATTAAAGATATCGCTCACAACAGAGGTATAATCTGGAATCGAACGTTAGTTATTTTAGCGAGTTCAAACGCTCCAAGTTTTTCCAATTAATCTCAGTCCAGTCAGAAGGAAAGCGTTTGTGTTTTATTAACGACAAATAAACCGACGTTTTGATCCAAGGGTCTCTGATCGCAGTTCGAAATAATTGAAATTTAAGACGCGAAACGAGCGTACGAGCGGTGACTCTTCCTCGTCGTTGCCTCGACTCGATTCGATCCAATTAAGCGCGGCCCCGAGGGTCCCACGGAGTGCTGTCGGGAACTTCGATTCTCTTTTCGCCCTACTCTCTTCCCTCCTCTTTCTTTCCTTCTTCAGTCACTCCTGTCTTCCTGGAGACCTTTACTGTGTTAAAGAGGCGACATTCGAGTGCGAGCAAAAACTGGTCGAGACAACGAAACACGCTCCCATCTTTCCTGCGCGCGATATTCGTTACCTTAATTACATTCGGAACGTAAACCGCGTAATCAAAAAGGACGGCTTTACCTGCTCGCGAAGAACATTTTTCGACACGAAAAACGAAGTTTCGCGAAGCGACGCCTGATAAATTCGGTCTCGTACCTTTGTAAGATTTCACGTCGTTATATTTCTTATCATCGAAGATACTTCATTATGCGTTTGACACTCTACAAAATGTTTTTCATCGACCGTGTTTATTACGATAGAATAAATTTTATTAACAATCGATATAATTTTTATAATTTATGACACAATCAAATTATTTTGTCCAATTTTATTTTAATTTTTTATTTCTATTTTTTTGATAAAATTAGTCATTAATATTTTTCGAAATATACATTCGTCTTGTTTGACATTTGCTCGTAAAAAAGTGATACGATTAATCGCGAGATTAATCATCGTATAGTTAAGGATCTCGGTATTAATATGAGCAATAAAGATGAGTCATCATCAATGTTTCCAAGATTCTCTTCCGCCTTATTCTTGTTTCAATCTTGAGGTCGACATTTAGTTTTCGAAGGAACAAACGGGCAAACGCGAACTACAAGTAACGTCACCTCCATTAATCTTCCTCCTGCTCGGATTAGATTTAACCTAAGGGATTCTCACGATCTTGTCTCGACCGAAATTACGATCGCGACCTCTTCGTGACTCTGCATCATGAAAGCTGATTCATCTCGAAGGGGAACAATCCGGAATAATTGAAAATAGAACACATAAAATATTTAATAAATCAAATAATTTATGTACCAACTCTATGGAATCTATTATTACATTAAATCTATATTGAAATAGTACTTGTTGGTAACAGCAACCAAGATTGTATAATGATTAATTAATTACGTAATACTTCTTTTTCCTTTCTCTCGAGGCGAAACGTGATTATGCGTTTGCGCCAATTGCAGAGCAATGCTATTGACGCGCATGTTTCGAGCCGCGAGCTTGAAGATAGGCAACGAACAATAATCCGACAAAGAATAATGGATAGCAATGAGGTATTGTCCCGTGTCGCTTTCAACGAGTCCAATTAAAGCGCGTCCTTCCGTCGGCTTAAAGTCAGAGACGCGGTGGAGTTTTTTCACCGGCAACGAGTGGGATGGAGAATTGTGTAACCCTAGGTTTCAATAATAAAAGTCTCGTTACGTTTTGCGTTTACGCTCGCTATAAATTATCACGTTTCCCGTCCGAATGTTTTTTTTTGTCCGATAGCGATTGCGCGTCGCGGAATAATTAAAGCATAACGAATTGACAATGTGGTAAAATTCGTATTGATTTTCCCGCGACCTTTTCTGTTCCCAACAATATATCATATTTACCGATATTATATTAGGTCTACCGGAAAGTTCTGTCCGTTTTTGGAATAAAACAAAATACAAATTTTTATTACCGTCAATAAACTTTATTAAATAATGTAATTGCCATTATTATTAATGATTTCTTGCCAGCGTGAGGGCAATTTGTATATCCCTTTTTCGAAAAATGTTTTATCTTTTGATGCGAAAAATTGAACCAGTGTTTGTTTGATATCTTCTTCATTTTTGAATTTTTTGCCCCTCAAAAAATTTTGTAAGGACAAAAACAAGTGATAGTCGGTGGGTGCTAAGTCCGGGGAATATGGTGGATGCGACAGAATTTCCCAGCCTAGTTCTGCAAATTTTTGACGAGTCCCCAAAGCAGCGTGTGGCCTGGCATTATCATGATGCAGTATGATGTTCTTCCTATTGTACATCGCCGGCCTCTTTTCTTGGACTGCTGTATTTAAATTATCCAGTTGCTGACAATACTTCTCCGAATAATGGCAATTACATTATTTAATAAAGTTTATTGACGGTAATAAAAATTTGTATTTTGTTTTATTCCAAAAACGGACAGAACTTTCCGGTAGACCTAATATAAATTATATATCGCGATTTTTTTATTTGTGAATATTAACTTGCAAAAAATTGTTTATTCTCATAAATTATTCTTTAATCGAGAATCAATTTCTTGTAGGCATTCGCAAATTGATTGCATTATGTGCGTATAAGATCTGTCCCATTTCTATTGCATTAAACTTTAATGACAGAATCTTCCATCGATTTACTATGAACCTCAACTAATCGACTGCTTTGTGAACGGAGCCATGCCATTAGAGCCAATGACAAGCGCTCATGGAAATTTGATGAGACCGAAACGACAGCTCTCTTGCATATTTTTGTTAGCGTATAATTTCGCCATGATAAAGTAATTTCTATTCTTGTGGAAACAAAAAAAAAAAAAAGGGAGAAAATGGAGTAATATTTATTATGACCAGCATTAGTTGGCCTGTGTAAAGTGGAGCAGAGCTATTTCTACATACTGGGTCGGCTTTAAACCACTCACCATCATCAATTTCTCGTACTCTTCCTCTATGACAGTACCATTGTAGTACCTCTTGTCCGATTTCGTGTCCGGATAGTAGAAGCCTCGTTTGCAAACGCATCGATAACTACCGCGGCGAAAACCAAGGCCGGGAATGGCGATGCACTGCGAACAGTGGACGAAACGATTAATTGCATCTAACCAATATTTACATATTATCGGATCCTTTCGTTATTAAGGCTAACTATGTACTATTCGCCGAAATTGTTTCAACGAATTGTTCGCTGATCTCTCGCCTGAGAGAACGATCAAAAGTTATTTCTCTTGGTCGACAAAATATATATTATTATTTGTAAAAAATTAAAAAAGAATTATTTAAAAAATTAAAATTCTATTCTTTAATCAAACTGTTTAGCGCGTATATATTACTTACATAAATAAGGCTATACTCGTAGTGACCAGTTTTATTGTTTTATTGATCGCCGTAAATAATTTAATTAATCTTCAAATAAGAGATTCCAAATATCTAAATTTTCAAAAATTTAATAATTAAATATTCGAAAGTTGAAAAGGAATTTTATGTTAGACTACTTCCATTTAAAGTTTAAAGGGATATACTCTTATTTGAAAACAACAGAACTGATCATGTTTCATTAGAAAGGATTGCGTGTAGCGTAAAAAATGATGAAATACATTATTTTTCATACATATTGATGTAGCTATTACTTTTTTTGTTAAAGTAACGAGCGAAGCAATAAAAAAATGTCATAGTTAAAAAGTGTCATGGATTTCCATAAAACGGGAATCTATGATAAACTACGGCTTCATTGGTCCAAACAACTACATGCTTCAGTGATTGAAACAATTTTATGTTGCAGGTGTATTATTTGCATTCATGTAGTAAACTATGGAAATTGAAAAAATGAAAAAAATAGGATTCTGTGAAACAACAACCATCAAAAGTTAAAAGTAAAAAATCGTGAAAAATGATTTTTATGTACTTTTTTTATAAGGAAAAAAAAATATGCTTGTTTTTCTCTGCAAATAGCTTCACGGGATGAAGCCTGAAGAAATGTTCTCTTCAAATTGCTACCCTCTTTTCAGAGTTCGTATAAATTATTGTAGCTGAAGATCGGAAAAACGCGATTTCAACTGTATAGGGTTTACATAAAGGATCGGACGATATTCATACAGTACTCTATTCTACATCTACCATAATTTTCGAGATTTTTTCCATATATTACTGCGCTTTTACATAAAAAAGAACTGTTAAAAAAATTTCGTCCAACGTACCCCATAACAATAAAGATGTAAATTAAATTAGATAAATATAAATTAATTAGATAAATATCAAAAATTAAGAATTATAAATAAAGATTAACGATAAATTAGCCCCAATTCTAATTTTCCCTATGGCCAAAATTTTATGAAATTTGTCAAGAAAACTGCATGAAATATACGCGATTCACAATACAATTTAAATGTAAATTCGCTCTGGGGCGCAAATACTATCCAATAATTTTGGCACTTTGTAAGGATTTTAAGTTAAACATTTTTGAAAACCTCTGGAGCGCGCGTCATTTTCTTGCGAGTTTTAATTTATGAAAAATAAAGCGCCCCGATAACGCTCGCGGTTTATTACCGGGTGATAAAAAGGAACGAACGCTGCGCGAGCAGCACGTAACTGTGTTTTTCGCATGGCGGAAGAACCGCTATAGTTTTTCTCTTTCTTCCGCGCGATAGGGTCGAGAGTGGCATTTACAAATAGAGTCGGTCGCCACGTGGAAAAACATTCCCCCGGTGGCTTTGTTCTCCATTCGGTGCGACGTGTTTCAAGCGCGCGCTCCAGAACACAGAAGGACACTCGCGGGAAACATCGATCCTTGGCGGCGAGGGAGGGGAACGACGTGGTGCAGAGAGAGCGACGAGAAATTAGCATTACCTCGGTGGTGCGCTTTTTGCACTTGTCGCTGGCGGCGAATATGTTCAGCTGCGTGGATCCGGCCGGCAACGGGCACTGATCTATGTCTACTCGGCGAAGGTCTATGTCGATACCGCTGGTGCCCCTGCGAACGATAAATCAAACACGTTTTGCGATTAAACTCCGGATGTAAGATGGGCTTAGACTTGAGCGGCCGACTTACGTCCCGAGAGAGGGCAAATCTCTCGCGAAGGGAGGGCGGGGGGAGAACGCTTCGGCGCCACTTATCGAAATTGAATTAGTAGTGGAAACTATAACCGTCTGTTTTTACATAATTTAAGTAGCGCCCGATAATGGGAACTAACATCTGTTCCTAATTAGTATCCGTCTAACATATATATCTTGTAACGCATCGTGTTTCTTCTGTGTGTCTCTAGATCGATACGAGTTTCAGAATAGATTCCTTTTTGTTATATATATTGAAATGCCACCAAAGTATAAAAAAAAAAAAAAAAAAATGAAAATCGTGTAAATTAGAAACTTGAACGAACATTGCTTCCTCATAATTTTATTTCCTTCTCAGAGCAAATGAGTTTTTCAATTTTGGCTTCCTTATAGAGGAAGCTTTATCATGGTAAAAAATTTAATCCGACATCTCGAAATTTGCGGAAGTTAAAGTGCGCACAGATATTTTTCAAAAAATTCAAAATTTCATAAAAAATTAACCCTTTCACCAATTCTCACCAAATTCAATACCATCCTTTAATGATACTCTATTCATGTAAAAAAATTTAGCCCGATATCTCAAAATTTGCGAAAATTAGAGCGTGCACAGACATTTTTCAAAAGATTCAAAATTTCATAAAAAATGAAACCTTTCACTAATTTTCATCAAATTCGATATTAACCATCCTTTGATAATACTCTACTCATTTTAAAAAATTTACCCCGATATCTCAAAATTTGCGAAAATTAGAGCGTGCACAGACATTTTTCAAAAAATTCAAAATTTCATAAAAAATTAATCCTTTTACCAATTTTCATCAAATTCGATACTAACCATCCTTTAATGATACTCTATTCATTTAAAAAAATTTACCCCGATATCTCAAAATTTGCGGAAGTTAAAGCTTGCACAAACATTCCGTACATACACATACATACGCACACATACGGACATTTTTTTTAAACGTGATTTTTCGACATTTTGGAACATTCTGAAGACATTGTCATAGAAAATTGGAAAAAAGAACTTCCTCTATAAGGAAGCAAATGAATTTGAGATTATAAGGTATGAAAATAAAAGAATTTATTATGTATGTAAAAAGAAAAAGGCGAAAAGGCGGACTTCTCTTGAAAGATCCATATACCGTGAGATGAAAGTAAGGTATCATAAATTTTTCGGAATTTTTCTCGTGTCCTCGCTATTCTCTTTTTACTATACTAAAATAATGTTTAATGTCAAATCAGATTCCCTCGCTTCTCGTTTTCTAATGCATAATTCAACACGCGTGCGCATATTGAAGCCGATTATGCGTGCAATATATCTTCCGTTGATTCTCGACTCGTGTAATCCGCGCGCGCGATAATCCTTCCTCTGACATGAAACGTAATAGCGGCTGCTTTGTACGAGGAACAGACGGTGCATCTCAGTAATAATATATTTCTAATATACAACATGTCGCAAATTATCCTCTCGCAAAATAAATCCTCTCAAGTTTACAAATTTTCTATTTTTTTCTAAAGCTTTCGTATAAATATTCTATTCAAATTTTCTCTTAAATATATATATGCAAATGTGATTATTCACATCTACGAATTTTAGTTCGTGAAAATAGCTTTTTTTTCCAATTATTTAAATTCGATCTTAATATTGATATCGAGAAACTGTTATTATTTTTAGGCTCTCCCGCTTCACATGACTGAATAATATTATCGTATATCTGGGAACAGCCTGTATAACAAACGCCGTTCGACTTTCCCCCCCCCCCCTCTCGATAGTTGGCCGATATCGATTCTTGATTTGCAAGAATTACGATGCGTTCGCAGTCGCGCTGATAACAAATTTCCTTTAACGGATATTGCATTCTTCCGAACGGCATAGCCCCCGTTCTTTTCCAACTGTCGGCATTTACCATGATTTCTGCGTGCAGTGGTCCATGAAATTTTGCATTTTTGGATTTGAACGGGAGAGCGACGCTATTTCCGACGTGCAATTGCGAGCGAATTCTCGCTATCCTTTCGCGAACATATCGCCCGGCGTTATTCCGTAAATGGTGATTTCACTTAGTCCAGTTGAGTGGAAACGTTTCAATGCATAGCGAAAGCGCTGTAATTTACTTACATAAACTGCAATAAATAAATTTAATTTCTTAATCATTTGGACGTTGAAACCTTAATATAAAATTCTATCTCAATTCTTTTAGTTTTGATGTACAAATTAAGAAAAATAGAGAGAGAGAGAGAGAGAGAGAGAGAGAGAGAGAGAGAGAGAACATTGAAATATAAAATAAAAATAATTATTTCTAGGGAGATATGTTCATAATTAAAGATTCATTGTTTTCCAAAATAAAATGTACATAATATTCTAAAAAACGTACAATTAACTTTATATATATATATATATATATATATATATATATATATATATATATATATATAT